ATATAGAAAGAATGTTATTCCTCGTGGGTCAGTCCAGAACTAGGGGGCAGTTTTAAAAGAAAACCCTTTCAGGAGAGATAAGAATATTTTTTTCTGAGGGTGTGAGACTTTACTTCAAGATTTATTTATAGCACAAGGTTTAGATAAAACTGAGTTATCTCAGAGAAAACATATGGTATATCTAGAGCTCCTCAATTGGTGGTTAATGCAGCTATATTTATACTTAAATCGGTATCATCAGTGCTCTCAGTCTGTCCAATGATATATTTTACTTCCTTGTGTGTATTCTGGCTTAGCTGAACGATGATCCTATAGCTAATCATGCATTCCTCTTATCACCTTCTTGGCAAAGAATTCCTGTTTTCAGTCTTCTTTAACACTAACACAGCAGTAGACAAAAAGCATAAACGAATTGAGAATGTTGCTGCTTGCAGTAAAGGTACACTATATTCAACCAAGTTCAGTTGATTCTAACAAGTGTGTTTTCATCACGATATAAATGTCACTTGTTTGCAGCTATAGTTTCATGTGTTTTATATGCATGAAAACTATAATGAGTTGGAGGCACCAAAGACAAAGGCTGTAGGAGTCTGATGCCAGAATGACTATGTAAAAAAGCTATGAAAATTGCAAAACCAGCTGCTGGCCTGAACTAGCCCTGTTTTCAGAATGCAAATTCAGGCAACAAGGCTCAATTACATAGAAAAACTAGCCTGATACGTAGGCTATATCAGTAATTTCAAAACTTTGATGAGTATAAAAACTGCAAAAATAACTCAAATGAATTTGAAATTTTGCAACAAGTAAACTTGGGTTGTAAAAACATATTTTATTTCCTGCAAGAATAGAAAGTACCAGATTGATTTGTGGAGAAAGGATTTAAGAACATCGTTGCCTTTGACATAATGGTGCCTCTGCTAAGTGATAAGATCAGAACTTAACCCCAGAGATAGTAGGAACTGCTGATGCTGGAGAATCTGAAACAAGGGTCCAGACCCGAAACGTCAGCTTTCCTGCTCCTCTGATGCTGCTTGGCCTGCTGTGTTCATCCAGCTCTACACTTCGTTATCTCAGAACTTAACCCCAACCATGTAACACCATTGTGACCGCACCTTCTCCCCAGTGCCGTCATTGTACATGGAAGAGGGGGCCAGGTAATGACACCACTGCTGCTTTGAATTGCCACACCCAGTGGTAACAACCCCTAAGGTTTAGCATTGCAACTGTAACAGCAATTGAATACAGCACACACCTTTCTGCAGAACAATAACTAGATTTGTAGCAGTGCCAGGGATCAGAGGAGTCCCAAACGTATCTGTAAAAGTTCCACTTACTGGAAGACCAAAATTATTGAGCTTTGAAGAAAAACCTATTTATTCTTGGGATGGAGCATTTGTTGCCCACTCCAACTTGACCTAGAGATGGTAAGTGGTGAACTGTTTCCTTGAATTGCTGCAGTCCTTAGGAGTGCGGGTGCACTTATAGAATGCTGTTAGGAGTCTCAGAAATTTGAACTAGCAACAGTTCCAAGTCTACTTAGGGAGAAGCTTGGAGGGAAAGATTTAGACAAGCCAAAACCAGAAAACTCTTGTAGGTAGTGGTGTTCCCATGGAGGTTAAATAAGGTACATCAAGATACTTGTCATTTCTTCTATCACTGTCTTCATCCATTTCGGTATTCACTATTTAGGTGAACTGACAAAATGAAAATCTCAAAGAAAACCAATCAAGTGCCATACTAACCATGTCACAAACTCATAGCTGGCTGCAAAGGCTCTGGCTGTTCTTCACAGCTACAGCATTTACAAATTACAATATATTTATCTCGTGCTGACAAGCAGAGAAGGTGTCTTCATAAGGTACAAACATTCATACTGGTCACGTCCTACACAGGGGTTTGTGCAGAAACAGTTGTGGAAAATCAACAATAGGACAATGATAACACATTCCACAGGAAAAGGCTACAGACTGCTATGCTTAGACAGGCTCTGGTAAATGGCAACATTGAAGGCAAAAATGCCAACAGAAGTCTCATTGTACGTGCTGTCATTTTTGTGAAGTTTAGTCAGTAATGATTAAGCAGAAATGTCACAACTTGCTTGGCTTCATAAAATCTCCTGTACGTGATCATTCCAAAGGGTGTCTTCTTGGAGGAAGAAGTCAGCTACTCCAATCGTTTGAAAACATCCTCATTCACAACTCCCACCGGAACATCATGAATGCTGTCAATCTAGTGCAAGCAGCAGCTCAGGCACACCCAGGAAGCAGCAGGCAGATAAAGGTGCCAGTGAGTAAAGATGAGTGTGTTCAAAAACAGCTGCAGCCAGAATGCAAGTTCTGACACTTTTGCAAGAACAAAATGGCTCACTCCACTGCTGATCTCACGTGGATATATATTTTCAACTTTTTGGACTTAGAAATGTCAGCAGTGCTTAATGGAGAGAATGGAAGAATTTGTAAGAGTTGAGAGAAATCACAAATGAAGTGATAAACTTCTAATAAATATTGACTTAAGTTAAAGATTCCAGCTGCTTTTTCTTCTCTTATCCCATAGCAGCTGAGGTGTCTTCATAGCAGCTCAGTTGCATCGTTCTCATGTCCAAGTCTAGGGACCCAGGTTTAAACCTTGAAAGATTTGCAGGTTGTAAAAGACTACATTGATGAGGCGTTATCTTCCAGTTGAGGTGTTAAACAGAGGCTTCCAGCTGAGTCCACAAGTGGAATTAAAGCACTCAAGACACAAATCTATCATTTGATAATGGGGACATTATTCGCACATTTACTGCTACTATTTTCCTACAAGAGTGACTGCACTTTAAAAACGCAGTGATGTACTTCAAAAGAACAAAAGAAGTCTGTCAGCTTCTAGCAGTGGTAAACCTTTTATCACTATCTTATTATAGCATACGGAATGCAATCATTAATACAAACTCTAAAGCTGCACGGAGAAGTCCACTTATTTCTCCAAGCAGCCGAAACAAGACTTTCCAATGCCTCTGGCTCAGAGGAGATGAACCATGCGTCAACTGAGCCCCTACAATGGCTGAAGTACATTGAACCATAACAAGGACCAAAATGAGAGATAAGAGAAATAAATTCACACCACAAAAGAATAAAAAAAAATTGAACTGGTTTGAAATCTTTATACAAAAGTATCCACACAAAGGAGTTAGCAACACTGTTTCTTTAACCTCCCATTTTCATGTAATATTTCAATATCAACAAAGTATGAAAATGTAACAACTTTAACTTAATTAGCTAATTTTCTCATTACAAAAAGTCCATACAAAACACTACAGTGTATCTATACTACTTAATGCAGTTTGTGCTATCAATGCCCCAATTTCTTAGTCTGTACATCAGTAACAATTTAGATGAATGCACTTGTCAAACATATCATGAATACAAAGGTTTCATTGGGTGGAGGGAAAGGGAGAGAATTTTTTCTAAAATTGTTTATGGAAAGTGCATTGCAAAAATCACTGCCCTACAAAAAAAATGGTTTAAAATTGATAAAATGTTGAATCAAAAAAGGCCTCCTATATGGTAGCAGTCATCCATTTTTGATAAATATCTCAATAGCAGAGGACTGACGAGCAGCATTGTTTTTGAATTGAACTGTTTCCGCTTGCACCCAAGTTCTCACTTAGGAGATGTAATTGGACAGTATAGAAGTAGGGTGGGAGGGAAGCAGTTAACAATTATGCTGGCAGTATTGTAAGTTCTACACTAACTATATCTAAATTCAACTTTCATATCCAAATTGCTGAACTGAATTTGAATGGCTATCATACAAGAATAGACATTGTAAAAACACAATGATTTCCAGTTTGTGTTACATACCATCTGTTAATTGTAAATCATAGTCCAAGTTAGTCCTGCATTAGACCCCCAAATGATCTCTAGCATTGGCTCGGGAATTGAACAAAAGATGATCCAGGGTCACAGCTTTCAAAAGCTATCCACTTGGGAAGTGCTTGTATAGACATCCAGCAGCAATTGAATTGGACTAAGCTGTAAGGCTCCCCACCCCAAACATCTCACCAACTCTTGCTTCTGGCTGAAGCATAGAGAATCGTAACGAGCCAAGGACTGAAGGTTTCTGGCACACACAGACGAAGGATTCAGCACCAGAAGAGAATATGGAGAAGACAGTGCAAAACAAATTCATCTAGAAAATATTGATACTTAACGGAGATATTACAGTAGGATGAATGGTACATTACTCATTTTTGTTGAATTAAACAGTTTGGGACAAGGAGACCTTTACCTTTAGTTAACTCTATTAGAAATATTTGCATTGAATTTCATTCCAGCACTTTCAGTAGTTATTGAAATCATAGTATTCAAAATATTTTCTACCTTTGCAATGGAGACCTGCACAATGATATCTCTTAGTTGTGCAACAACCCAAAAAATCCCCACATAGCCAAATTGGTATCTAATATTTTGCACTGTAATTTTAAAGGGAATGTGGGAACTGCAGCATTCTTTCTTTCCCCCTGTTAAATAAACAATGAAGACCTGATGAATTGCTTTCCTCAGATAATCACATGCAATTCTATTTTACTTTTGCCTGTGAGATTACCATTATAGATATGGAAACAAAGAATATAGCACAGTGCTTAATTTTACAGGTCAGTCATCAACCCTTAGCCACCCTTTTTCATAATCCTGTAAGAGTTCAAGGTAGTACTGCCAGTCAGGTTCAGTGTCATATTTAACTTCATATACAGTTTCTAGAGGATTCTGGTGCTTTTCATGCACTCGGACCACTACACCTTTATACCAGGACTCTGATTTATCCTTTTCCTCATATAGATGTCTTATACGTTTGCCCACTAAATTTGGGTATTCCTTGCCTTGGCGTTTTCCACAGGAACGGGATTTAGTTATTTTCTTATCAAGCTGTTGAGAAGTACGTGTTAATAAAGGCTTTCTTGCAGCAACAATTGACTTCAGCACTATGTTTCTGCATGGAGCAGTTTGTCTTGGTTTCTGAAATTTTAACCGTACAATTGAGCCACGAAGATGCAGGACTTTAGATGTGCTTCTAGTTGGCCTCAGTGCACCATTGTTCTTTTTCTTGATTGGCATTTGAGATTTTTTGATCTTTCTACTGCAGGAAACGTTTGTCCCTGTATCATCCTCATTGACAGTTACTCGATTTAGTCGAACCACCAAAGTACTGCCCTTCCTTTCAAAATTGCCTTTCATGAAACCCTTTTCATTGTAAACTCCTTCCCTTTTCATTGTAAACTTTCTAGAGCCTGGCCGGCACACTCTGCTTGACCGTTCTATACTAGCATCTTGATTAACTGGTGTGCTGGACTTTTTTTCTAAGCGGAGAACAGATTTTGGCTTTATTTTCTGTAAAGATTGTGAACTATTGCTGGAATCAGTACATTTAGAGTTACAATTTATGGATGAGGTTGTAGCTCTAATCTTCCTCTGTCTTTTCCTAAGTTTTGCATTATGCCTGGCTGTCGCAATTCCATTGTCAGGCTTCCCTTTTGAGCAAGCAGTGTTTGCTACCGTTTTGGTTTTGATTTCTGTAGAACGAGGCTGTGCACGCTGATTTTCATTAGCACTATGGTCAGCCAGATTCTGAGCAACAGTTGCTTCCTTCACGTTTTCATCACTTTGTTCACCTTGGTTAAAAGCAAAGAAAATTGCCCGTTAATATTGCAGACACACAATCAAATGCTTAAGAAAGAAAACAAAAAAGTGCTACAGGATTCAAAACACTGGTTAACAGATACCTGAACTGGAGCATCTAGACCAACATGTGAAGGTAGATCTGCAAAAAATAAATTTATTTACAGTGATCTTTAACTATGAATGTGAGACTTAAGTCTAATATTCCAACTAGGTTGCTTCAATATTGTTTTCTAATACTTCTATTAAGTATAAAATATTTTGTACAAGTGTCATATTGCTGGCCCACAATCAATATGATAGCTGCGTTTGACAAAATCTGAATTTTTTTAATCCAGCAGTAATAATCTTGATATCTGGCTTTCAATTTGAGGGACATAAAATCTATCAGATGCAAATTTCAAATTGAATTGATATTCAGGTTTGTGTTCAAAGATGCAATATAAGATTAAGACCGAGATCTTCAAATCTTTACAAAGGCTCTAAGATTCTCCAAAGTCTGCATCAAATGCTCATCACTGCAAGGTGTAAAAGCAGATTTCAAACTCAGCTTGCCAGCCCCGATTACAGACATTTGCTTCACGGAAAGGTAAATAGATAAAATCCTTTAATATCCCCATACAGCAATTTTTGGAAAGGGACACAAATGCAACCAAGTTGTGACTAGAATGTCAAAATCTCAACCTGATGGCAGGATTAGATTTTGACATTAAACCATTACAAATGAAATCAACCCAAGACTAAAAGCTCCCCAGTGTAGAACAAGGTTTGCAGAAGATAGGAAATTAGCTGTAAGAATACTCTTAATTCTTCAAATTACACAAGGCAATACTCCTTGGTATATCATCTATACTAAAGTATGGCACTTTAGGAGAATGGTGAATTTGAAAATTGGAGCCTAGTTTGACTTGCCAGACTGCATATTTACTTTTGTACTGAGCTCAAAGTACTTGTAATAATTAGTAACAAAAACAGAAATTTCTGGAAAAGTTCAGGAGGTCTGGCAGCATTTGTGGAGAAAAATCAGAGTTAATATTTTGTGTCGAGTGAAGAAGGTTCTGAGGAAGGGTCACTCAAACTGAAACATTAACTCTGATTTCTCTTCAAAGATGCTGCCAGACCTGCTGAGCTTTTCCAGCAATTTCTGTTTTTGTTTCTAATTTACAGCATCCACACAGTTCTTTCAGTTTTTATTATGCAATAATTAGTAACTTAGTTTGACCATTTTTGCACACACTTTAAGGTCAAGTATTTGAAAGTTGGTCACAAACTCAACTCACTGATTCCAAAGATAAATGAGAAATCACGACTTGATACAGTCCATTGGAGTGCCCAATCATGAAAACTATGCTCCAACATAAATAAAGTCAGGACAGAACAGAAAAGCATTCAAGCAGTTACAACACCAATACCAACAGTTTATTTAATCCATTCCCACCAGCCAGGAAGTGGATGACATTGGGTCAGATGCCAGTTTTACCTTTTCCACCGACTAGGGTAAATGAGGAGGGTTGTAAAACAGATGTCTGACCCACTGTTGCTATCACCGGGCTTGGCAGGAATAGTTATACGTGACTTTTACCTTGCCTAGAAAAACAAGATACTGTTTAAATCAGAGCCATCAGATAAATGTTAGCTGGTCATAAAACAATGCCATTTACTGAACCTCCAGGGCAAGCCAGGGGCTCTCAATGAGATAATAATCCACTTTTAAAAGCCAAACTGCTTAAATAAAACAACCCTTTGGCTGGAATCTACAGTATATCAATATTTTGTCAGCAGTGTTGTGTTGTACAAAACACAGCTGCATAAGTTTGCTATAAAGTGTATAGATGGAGGAAGAATAGGCGTAAGCACCTTCCTCTGAAGGTTATAATAAATGTTCATTGCTCCTTAATGACTCACTGGACAGCTTGATAGAACTAAATAGACCCAGAAGATCCTAGATTCAATTTCTGGTCTGAACTCAGTTTTCCGATCTCAGCTAGGGCAGCAGCATTGTCAGCCTCAAGCTGCAGGCCTGGCAGGTTTCTGCTCCTGGTTGTTGCCCAATGTCTCTCTGCAAAGTAAACGGATGGATATTGGATGAGGGCAAAGTAAGTCTTGGCAATGATCTACTCTTCCTCCCCAAGGACACTTGAGTGACTGCCACATAGCCAAGATGTTTAACTACTATAGACAGAGACACACCTATATGCAAAGAACATAGGATCTGCAAACAATAACCACCTTAGGATGGAAATCTTGACACTCTTGGACTGAGTCAACAAGACGGTCAGCAATTTACAGTTCAATCAAGACAATTGAGGGGAAGGAGGATGGAACACATCTGAGTGATGATATGATAAGGTGGCCCAGAGTAAAAATGGCAGTTCAAGGAAAAATTGCTGAGGGAATACTTCAAAATATGAAATATTTGAAACACTAATAAAATGCTACAGAAATAGTTCCCAATTATTTACAGGAATTTGAAATTCACAAATTGCAGTAAATGAGCAGTTTGAGGAGAGAACAGAGTAAACTGAGTAAAAACCAAGCTGCTGGAGATTGACAAAGGAGCTGTCAAAATGCGACCTCAGAGGCCCAAATCAGGACAGCTGTCACCATGGTGGACAAAAAAAAATTCACAATGTAAATGCTCACATTCTAATAGTCTGTCTTCTGCAACTCTTTGCCATTAGTCCAACTTGGTTAATTAGGATTCTACAAGTAAGTTGAGAGAATTTCAAAATGACTTTCAAGTGCATTATTTCTTTCAATTCTATATTATTCTGTCAAACTGTTGTCCTTTTTCTCTCAAATGCTATTAACACTACAAGCACTTGAAGTCTCTCAGATACTAGGCTGACAATTAATAGCACCTCAAGAGTTAATCTGTGAAATATTATCTCAGACACCTGTAAATTGGCAAAGGGATAAGAAGATTGAGCAGGTGCCTAGAGGAATTATGTAGTGGGGAAGAAAAAGGAGTTCTGTTTCAGTGGAAGGTGACATCAGTATTGGGACAGAAAGAACTGCACTATTGAGACAGATGGAGACCAAGTGCCTCATGGAAAGGATAAAGTCACAAGGACTTTAAACTAATGAGTGTAGTGGGGTGCAGGGTAGACAGGTTCTGATGAAAAAAAGATATAAATACCTCAAAAAGACAGTACAGGAACAGTTAGAAATTGAACTTTAGTTATAGAAAGATGGAATGTGATTAAACCAAGAGAGAAGAAATAAGGCATGAATATTAAATCTGAATAGCAGCACAACTAAGCATTCTTTATACAGACAGTGGAAAGGGAACGAACAGAATAAAATGCTGCCACAAATCCAACTTGGAAGGCATAGCTCTACAGCCTTCGTTGCAACATGGCTGTAAAATAATCAGGACTTGAAGTCTTCATGTATCAAGTTTTAAAAGGCCCATAAAGACAGACAAGCAGAAGTTAAGTAGCTACCTTAGTGACTAAATAGTGAGTGAACTTAACCAAAGGTAAGCAAGCAGTGAGATCTTTCACTGTAGAAAAAAGGATGTATGACTGAAGTGAATGTGCAGCGCCTAGGAGTGGTGAAGTAGTAAATTGTATAAATGCAAATATTTCCAACAACCCATCTTGGTACCAATGGTGGGGATTCAATTTCATATTGACTAATAAGCTGCTTTTAGTTAACAACTTAACAGTGCACGAACATGTGCCTATAGCAATCATAATCCACTGGATTAGTATTCCAAAAAGGGAATCCACAAATCAGTGATGAGGTTCTGGATTAACCAAGGCTGAATCACTACATTGCAACAGACAATATTCACTGTAAACTAATGGATAAAACTGGTCAGTGGGAGATGTTCAAACATATTATAGATACAGATCTTGTTCATACCATAAGGAGCAACAGCTCTACTTGGCATAAAAATAAAAAGCCATGGCTAAATGAGGCAACAAACATGAAACTAAATGTAAAAGCAGGAAAAAGATACACAAGAAAGCACCAACTTTGGCAAGTGGGAAGGACGCAAAGAACACTAAATTATGACATAACATCTAGGTGTTAAAAACAGAACTTTGAAGCTTTGTAAAGGATAACAAAGCTTACTGTGTAACAGAAAAACTGAGGGGTTGTCAGGAGCCACGTGGGTTGCTTGGATCCTGATGTTTGTCAAGGAAAAGGAGGAAATGGTGGGTACATTGAATAATTATTTCACATCAGTAGCTACAGTTGAGGAACAGGTCAACATGTCAGACAAACTACAAGAACTAATCGTGAATCACGGAAAGTGAATCAGCAAATGTTAACGCACGGGTAAGGCACTGATGAAGAAAATAGTAGAATAAGAAATGGCGAATCCTCTGGATAATGTGCCTTCAATCCTGGGCTATTAAAGGAAAGTGGTGAGAACACTGGAATATTATAGTTCTACAAAGTTCTCTCAATTCGCTAACTGTTCATTTCGATTGCAAAATTGCCTATGCCAACATATTTAAGAAATGTGATAAAAGGAAAGCTCAATTGGCTTAACATCAGTCATCTGGAAGTCACCAGAGTTAAAATCATCAACAGGATAACTCAAGATATTAACTTTTAGGTGATGGAAAAGAGCCTGAATTGTAAAAGATAAGTCATATTTGACAAGTCTGATTGACTCGCTTAAATAGGTTACTAAAGCAGAGAAGCTATGTTTTTATTTATGACCATTTCCAGAAGACATCTAATAAAGTCATAAGAGATGGTTTGCTAAAATTGGAATTTATGGAATTGAAGGCCAATGATTGACGATGTTAGGAAACTGACTGAGCAAAGCAGACAGTGCACAAAAGTGATAAGTAGCTCCAATTTAAGGTCTGACTAATTAGTGCCCCACACAAATTGAATCAAGCCTTCAATTCTACCTATTAAAAATTTAGATGATGGGATAGAAAGTTAAGTCCAAACTGGCCAATGACAAAGACGGACAGCACATCAAGATACGCAAATGGAAGCATGAAGTTACATATAACACTTGATAGATTAAATGAATGTTCAAAATAAAAGTGAATGAAAGAATTTCAATGTAGGCAATATGTAGAGATGCATTATAGTCTGAAAATGGATAGAAGAGAGTATTTTCTAAGTAATGAAATTTTAGAAACAGTGGAGTTCCAGAGTGACTTATGGGCCCAGGTCCAGAGATCATTATAATGTCATAAACAAGTACAGGAAAAGTTAACATCAAATATAATGTCTAATATCGAAGGAATTAGAATACAATACAACGGGACAAATGTCATGCTTCAGTTAAGCACTAGTGAGACTCCACTTACAAAGTGGTGCAAGCTGTTTCACACACCACAGTTAAGGCAGGATATATCAGCATTGGGGGGATTACAGTGTAGGTTGATCAAACGGATCTCCCAAGAATTCAGCAATGAAGAGCGATCATGGTTGTACTACTGTAAGTTTGGAAGGTTTAATTGATGGTCAAGACATTAAATGAAACAAGATAGCACAGACAGAGGAATATTTCCATTGGTTAGGAAGTCTGGACCTAGGAGGAAATGTTTAAAAAATTAAGAGCTAGATATTTCAGAAATGAAATTAGTAGAGGTTTAGAACACTTTCACAAAATACATTGATAATTTCAGTTGAAAATTAACAGATGGAATGACAGCTTTTTGCTAACTGAAGATATTAAGCGCATATGGGCAAAAGTGAGTATAGCAGGTTAAAACTGCAGATCAGCTATGGTCTAATGGAATGGTGGAACAGTCGAACAGGTTTGAGTGGCTAAATAATCTACTCCTGTCCCTATAAAAGGTTAGTTAGACTGAAACACAAGTTAGCGTGGCACAGACAAGGCGGTGGGTTCAAAATTTGACAGTAAGCAATAAAAAGTAATGTACACTATAATACTTGCAACTAGCATCTATATACTACCAAAATCCTAGGAACAATCCTGCAGGTAGTTAAGTGGAGTTGGAAACTTCAGGTTAATCTTCTTGAATCCATCCAAAGTTGAGACGGGCAGATTTTTGATCTCTCATGGAATCAAAGAAGATTTAGAGAGGTGGCGCGTTAAGTCTAAAGTCAACCATGTTCATAACAAATGGTGGACCATGCTTGATATACTGTATGGTCTTCTTCTGTTCTTATTTCTGATGTTTTTTTAAAAAAATATTTTCAGTCATGGGATGTGGATGGTCATTTATTGCTCATCTGACTGTGCTGGAGAAAGCATCGGTGAGATGCCTTCTTGAACAACTGCACTCTTTGGTGTAAGGACACCCACAATGCTCTTAGGAAGGGAGTTCCAGGGTTTTGGCCCAGCAATTATGTATTCAGCTAATTGCAGTCATTTTGAGAACTTGAAAGATGAACCTACAATGAAATGATGTGGCACTTTTTCTTAAAGAAATAATATTCTCCTTGGTAACACTAAACTGAAAAGTTCACCATTCTTAGAGTCAACTATTCATACCATTAATTTTCTACTCTCAAAGGACTAGCCCATCAGATTTTTGGTAGCACTTAGTGAGTCATTGCTTTATTGAGCAAAAAAATGGATGGTGTGGCACCACCGGTTTGGAGTCCTGGCACAAAGAAAAAATAGCAGGTATGGGGCAGTGTCTCTTCATCACCTAGAATGTGTCATATGTCCAAAGCAGCACTAGCTTCTTCCTATGTCCTCTACCCATTTGGCTGCTCAGTCTGTGAACAAAAGAATAAACTGAATCACCGGAGGTTAGAGTTCACTAACACTCAAGTGAGCAATCTCAAAAAACCCAATCAACCCATCACATTGAAACACATTCTTCATTCCAAACTTCAACTCAAAAGTATTTTATTTTGGAAAAGTAAACATCAAATGTAATGTAAACCAATGTGCATTCTTTCCCACCCATAAAAAAATGACATTACTGCTTTTTGCTTAAAACACGAAAGCAACACCGAGTCTTTTCAAAGCAAAGGGAATTATCTAAAATAGAAACAAATTTTTTTAAAAAGGGATCATTTAATAGTGTCTGTTCAAAAGTAACCTGCACCATAGTTATAAGGCAAGCTTTTACAACACATGGGTTTATTTAGGAGGAAAACATGTACATGGGATATTTTTCAGAAGGCTGGCCAGTCCCAGTTTCCATAGTTAACAGTTTGACGGCTGTTATAGTATTTCTGCACCAAAAGAAAAGTAACAAGATTAGTTTCTAATTAGTGTTGTGAGGTTTAATAAATTTATTCTAGGAGATCTAATACTAGTATTTTAATGGGAGAAAATAGTAAATGAGCATTTTGCAATGGTGCGTAGCATGCAGAATTAACGAGTTAATTCTTATAAAAGCAGATAATTGGGCAGTGAAACGTGATGAAAAAAAGTGACAGGCAAATTTAGTAGCTAGTATAAATTAATGATATTAAGAGGCTTAATATTGTAATATAATAATATTAGATTATTGATCAAAGTAAAAGAACCCCTGTGATAAACATTTGGTCTTTATTTTAGCATACGGAGTTTTCAAAAATCTTCAAGTTACAAACAGTATAAGGTTGTTGCTCAAGGTTAGACTTCCTGGAAGAGCTTTTTTTTTTGCACATATTAGAGTTTAAAAACACTCACCAAGACGAATTTTCACACAAGAATGCCACAAAACATCCAGCAGATCCTGATAGATTTCAGGTAACTGTTTTAAGGAAAGTAGCTTGATTAGTCTGGAAGAACACCTTTGAAGCTGTAACTCTGTTTGCAATTTTTTCTCCTCTGAAAGGGTCGTCGGTCTCAGTTCTATTTTGTGCTCCTGGAAAACTTGATCAATTGTTGCGCCCTTGAGGCTGGAAAATAATTTCTCCTTCACTAAATATATTGGAATAAAAATTGTGCCAGCCCTTATTACGTGGGGAAATGGGCATGTTCTAGAATAAATATAGCTTTCCAAGTAGGAAAGCAGTTTTTGCAGGGTCTGTTGGACTTGGCCATAGTTGCGCCAAATTTCTTTGGATTTTGACATCTTCAATGCCTCAAAGCTTCTTGTACCATTTTTTGACTTTATTGAAGATCTTAAGTTTGGAGTTTCCTGTTCTTCAATGTCATGCAAACATGCACGCAAAACCTCTTCAGAAGTTTCAGCCACAGACTGTGTGATCATGTCACATAGGGACTGATGAAGATGTGCAAAATAATTGTAAGTGTCATTCTCGTTCTGTGTTAACTTGCCATTACAGGATGAGTCCACTTTGGTTTTACAAGGTGTCTTGCTAGATTCGGGAGTAGAACTCATAATTGATTTAATTACATCAGGCAATATTCGCTTCAGAGGTTTCAGGGGTCTCAGGATTAATGCTGAGGGATCAACTGATCCAATTAAACTACTTTTTTTAGCTTTAATAATGTCTTCAGATGGCAGAGTTGGATTATTTTCACCAATCTTTGGAGGGGCAGGTCTCAGTATTTTATACTTATTCATTTCTATAATAAGGTGGTCACTTGTGCTGCTTGTTTCATTCGAGGCTTTAACTCTGTGCTCTCCAGATGGTTCTGTGTGTTCCTGTTTCTCTTCAGAACTCAGAGATTCTATAGTATTTTCTTTCTTTTCATTTGATATTTCAATCGTACATTTCAATTTTTCTCCAGACTCACCAGAAACTAGAGCACGCTGAGTAACATTCAAAGGCGGACTTTTTGATTTAGTACTTAGGTCCAAAGCCATATCATCCATCTTGTTCATCCCAAGCTTTACATCACCACTGTGAACCACACACCTGGCATCATCATTACCACTTTGCTGAGGTTGGCCATTACTGGGTCTGCTGAATTTAGGAGAAAGGTTAATCTCCTGATGCTGAGTATCTAAAGAGTTCTTCTTGCTTACTGCTTTACTTAGCTCATCTTCAGGTGAACCTTTCTCATTCGTAGATTCTAAACATACAGAAGCATCATCTGTTTTCAATTCATCATTCTTGGGTTGCAACTGACTGCTAGCCTTTGGCAGTCTTTTAGGGCCAGATGTATTGGAATCCAGATCTATGATACCATCATTTTTGCTGCTTTCAGTTTTATTTTCCAAAGAACACGAACATGATTTATCACAGTCTGGTTGGCAGTTTGGACATTTTGAGAAGAACAGACCAGTGGCTTCCAGGTAAGCTTTGTAGGGTGCCAAACTGAACACATTGTTTATGACTGGCATAGGAGGGGAAGCAGGTGGAGTTGCTCTCCTGCTTTCATTAGCAGCAGGGGAGGAAGCAGGAGAGAAATTAATCACAGATGTTTTTCTGGTTGGACTAACAGTATAGCTTTTTTGTGGGCTATCCAATCTGACTTCTGAATTATTATTCAGGATTTCAGGTTCTTTATTGAAAATAGACCTACCATGATCACCTTTAGGGGAAATGTGAAAGCCTGGGCTATTCTCTTGCAGATAAATATCCGTTGATCTTTGGTCACCTGGAGAGCCAGCAGGTCTCTCAAATGACCCCTTCAGGTGTTTGCCAGACAGTACAGGGTGAAAGGCACTGTGTTTGCTTATCAACTGCTGCTGACCAGTACATTCCATATTGTAAAGAGTGTTTAATGAATTGTAGCACCGTTCATTTGTTTGTGCAATGATGCGTGGTCTGAAATGCAACAGGTCTGGTGAAGGATGCTTTGCATTTGTTGGATCTTGGCGAGATGAAGAGACTTTGTTTCCAGGAGAACTCTGTTGCTCAAACTCTGTTGGTTGTGTCATAGGCTGTGAGACAGAATGAACCAAAGGACCAGTCACAGAGACACTTTTCTGCTGCTGTGGAGGAGGATGAGGACGAACAGGATACCCAAAAGATTCAGATGACTGTGCATAAGGATACTCTGAACCAAGCTGCCTTGCAAAAGCAGAACTGGGTGCAGGCATCCGCCCACCTGCACCTGGCACTGGATAATTTCCCATTTGGGCCTTATAGCTACGTGGATGTAACAATGAGTAAGTACCGACACTTTGCTGGTTTGAAATGGTGTTCCGAGAATGCAAAACCTTTGGCTGAATTGGCATTGGATATTTTGGTGGCGATGGCTTATCACGATACAAAGGCGGTTGCATCTGTTGCCCTTCAGTCGTCACAAACGGATGCAAGGGAACTTTCTGCAAGTCTTGGATATTATGTATGGATGTGCTGCTATGACTTGGAACACTGCCATTAGAGTTTTCATATGAGAGCATGGAATATCTGGGATCCTGTAGAACATCACTATTGTAAGTTCCATATCCTCGACATAGAGGTGAACGCAGTCCAGGTGGTTTTCCAGTTTCTTTAGTGATTCTGCCCACAGAGCTAACCGGTATACTGCCAGATCCACTATGCAATGAATTATTTTTCACAAGTGGATTGGCATATTGCTGATTGTGCACCAGTTGACTGTTATTCACAATTAAACAGCTGGAAGTAACAGGAGGTGGGATCCTCCATTCAGTTTCTGGTCCTCTTCTATAAAAATGATCCGTTGAATTTTCCAAAGAGAAACCAGCTCCTGAACAACAGACACTATTTCTATACACTGGTTGTGGAAATGCTACATTTGCACAGTTACTAACTGTAGATAAAGCAGATGAAAGTAAACTGTGTTTTCCAACTGCAGTCGAACACAGCACTGGTGGGAGATTTTGGCTTTTTCTCAAGTTCTTTTGCCGTTCAACAAAACTGACCCATTTTGATCGAACATTCATCAAATCTTTGACCAAGTCAAGTTTATCATTCGCATTTATAGATGGTTGAAATGGTCGGGGCCCAGTTTCAGGTTCTGTCTGATATAAGCGATTGCTAAGACTTGAAACTTGACCTGGTGGTGACTGGGTATTTGGACCACCCATATGATGCATGTAAGGTTGGGGCTGGTTCCAGACTCCTGATGGATCAGTTCCATCACGACTTTGAAGATGGTATGCTAAATAAGATCCAGTGTACTTGAGGGGATTTTCAGCAGCATAACTAGATAGGGGACTGGGTTTATAAAGTCCTGCTGATAATCCATTTTGATTGTTCTCCAGTCGTGGCATCTTACTACAAATAAGTGAGTCCATACCATCAAGACTTCTTTTATTGGCCATCATGATGTTCCCAGACCTTTTGCTGCTCCAGATAAAGGGAAAGAGCCTTAACCAGAAGAAACAGAACAGAAAATTAAAATTAAACCAGAGCTTTGTATGGTTTAAAAATGACACTGCATATCAATTGAAGTAACAGTAGAATGCACACACTAATATGGAAAACGAAGCTTGTGCAATTATAGAATTGTTTCAACAGCAATTTTCAATATTATTTTAAAACCGGAATGGATTTTATTGGAATATATCTTGATAGCTAGAATGAAGTGTCAGATAATATACAAAAATACAAACAATCCCAATAATGATACGAGCTAACATGCATTGGTAATTATTCATTTATAACAACTACTAAGACAGTCATAAGCCCTGCGCTTTTACTGGAGCCATACGTGCAACAGGGAGAGCGTGCAGCACAACAGGGAGAGCGTGCAGCACAACAGGGAGAGCGTGCAGCACAACAGG